CTGGTCGGTGCCGTCACCGGAAAAAGAAAAGTATACGTGAGTAAGCCGTAAATAATTAATTATAAAATGTCTCACGAAAGTTTAAATAATTCATAGGCTACTTGATTATTTTTTAATACTATGCAGTGATAATACATAGGTAATGTGACTTGACAATCAAAGAGTCCGAGTGTTATTTGCTTTTTAAACAATCAACATGTTTTTGCAAATATTACTTTTAAGCCAGCATTTCTTGCTTTTGCAAATATGCTAATGAAGTCTTCAAACTTCCCAAGGGCCGGATTGCCGCTGAGTTCAAGACCCACAACAATATCTGAGAACTTCTTATGGTACTCAATAGCAATATTAACTATATCTTCTGCCTCAGAAATCCCATTACTTCTATTTATTGAAATAATAAATGCTGAAATTATATTCAAATCTTCAGATGAATTTCTGTAACAAACAAGACAATAACACAAGCTAAGAAAAATATATTTTTTTCAGATTAATAAGATTCATAATGTTTTAATTAAAAATAATTAAAGCTGATTCATCTAATTTAGTAACCAACTTTTAATCTATATGTATAAAAAAAAACATACAGATAAATTGAGTACCTCCTTCTTTTGGGAAGTCAGTCGAATATTAATAAAAATAGAATAAAACATATTAAGTGCCAAATTAACACTCTAAAGACAAAAATTGCGATTAAACTTACTGCATTGTCTGTACAATGGTTTCAACGTATTGCCTTTTTGTCATATGGCTAGTGTCTCTTGGGGTACTCCTCAGTTCAATATAACAGCAGCCATCGTCTTGGAATTCTTTTAGAGTAAGACTTGTCGCTAATGCTAGAGTTTCAGGAGTACTTGTCAATGTATGAGCTATATTAAATACTTGAAAGCAACTGAAATGTTAATGAAAAAATATATTTAATTTTATTATTTTAAATGAACAAAGTTTGAATAGATGAATGTTTGATATTACATAACTTCAGAATAGTTCCATGTATCTCGATGATATTTGACATAGATGAAGAATATAGTATAGAAGAATGGACAGGCTACTTACTCAGTATTTTATTCTGCCTCAACAAAGTCAAGCGTGAAAGCTAGTACTGAATAAAGTTAGCCCGTTTTAAAATATTTTCTATCTATCAGATTAAATGTATATTTAATAAAAAAAAATAGGTCTCACTCTGACAAATTCCTAGTATCCCCAGCACCAATTTGAAATTCATCAAAAAATGCATTCGTTTTATCTGATATTCCTGCATCAGCGTATTGTCTTTGTAATTGCAGCATTGTAGAACGACTGAGAGATCCGTTTAAGTGAGCATGTAATTCCTGAAAATTATTATAAATAATTAATAATTCCTTCATGTTCTCAAAACCATTCAAAACTTTAGCGCCTAAATCAATGTTTACATTTTACAAATTGTTTTCGTACTTACAACTTTTGGTAGGGCATGACAAAACTGATTCATATCATTTATAATATTCATTTTATAGATGAAATAACTTTCAGTTTAACTAAAAACAATAAAACAGGATGATTGTTAAGTCGTTGTTATTGACAAAAACAACATACAAGGATGTTTTGGCTAACGGTAAAAGTAGAAACTAACAATGTCATCTTGACAGTGTCATACATTGACCAATAAGAGGTCAGCAGCTGTTCGTGTATATTTTGCCATTTTCATATTTTCGAAATCAGCAAAACACATCACGTATAGTTTCGTCTTGCTTTATATTAGGTTAGGGCCGTTAGGGCATTAGGCCCCGATGACGATAACATGCGACTAATTGTTGTTGATGATGTGGAATATAATAAAAATTGTAATTAATTCCTGAATAACCCTAGAGCTATATCTGTTTATGTAAATATATTTTAATAGTAATTACGGGAATTAAAAAATAATTTTGGAAGTTAGGGAATTTTCGTTTACTGGAAAGGAAACCCTCTTGTTGTCGTCGTCGCCCTTGGTAATGTCAAACAACTGCCAAAATTTTTTCTTGTCAAACCGTACAAACAAATACAAACAATAACACAGTTAAAATATAACCGACCTTATCATTGTTGTTATCTCTATGTACATTTTATAGATACATAAATAGTTACAAAACTTTATATTTATTTGGTTTTCGCCAGTAGTTATTTGTCGGTAACATTGTTTGTCAAATTTAACATTTATGAAATAAGTAACCAATATTTATTGGCTTTTTATTAACATTCTTCTATTTATAGACGAAATAACTAGTCAATTGTCACACCAAATGTTATTAATTTACAAATGTGTTGTTAAATGTTAAAGTTCGTGTAACATTCTGATAAGAAATGTATGACAATAATCTACTTTTACTTTCATTAATATTCTTAACTTTTATAACAAACTGCACACCAAGTAAACCAATTGTTATAACAACTTGGACTTTCGTTAATGCTACAGTGGCTGGTAAATATTTTTAATGTTTGATTAAAAATTAAACAAACTGGCATAGTTAATGTTTCTTTCTTTGGCAGCTTGGGAAGTACTAAAGGATGGTGGGATAGCTCTGGATGCTATACAAAAAGGTGCTTCAGTATGTGAAGAGCAACAATGTGATGGCACTGTGGGCTATGGTGGAAGTCCAGATGAAGATGGTGAGACTACATTGGATGCCCTATTAATGGATGGGTATATTTTTTCTTTAATATATAAAATGTTCAAAATGTACACTAAGTAATTGTTATCTATGCATGTAAAGTAAATAAAACCCATTAAATTACTCCCATCATATACAAATTCATTTCCAAATGGTTAAAATCTCTATAAACTGGCTGGTTTTATTCTTTTAGTCATGTACAAGTTTATAAATTACATCTAGTATTGAACTCCTGCATTACAGGAGTACAATGAATGTGGGTGCTGTTGGTGCATTGCGCAGGATAAAGAATGCAGTTGGTGTTGCTAGACATGTTTTGGACAATACAAAACACTCAATACTGGTTGGAAGTCAAGCTACACAGTTTGCTTTGCAAATGGGATTTCATGAGGAGTCCCTCACTACCCCAGAATCTAAAAAGCTTTGGTCTACATGGGCTAATGAAAATAATTGCCAACCAAACTTTTGGATGGTAATTAATTTGGTTTACTTTATATAAATCTATGTGTAACTTTAATATATTGACACACTTGACACAAAATTATCTTTCTTGAAAATATTTTTGATGGTGTCCAAAGGAGAATATTACAATTGAAATATGTGACAGAACAGTGCACATCATATTATTTAAATACTAGCTTACGGCTGTGTGTAATAAAAAAAAAACAAAAGTAAGTAGCCTATGTGTGTTTCCAGGCTATCCTCTACATCTATGCAAATTTCATCAAGATCTGTTCTGCCATTTAGGCAACAAATTCAAACAAACATCCATTTATCTAAAATAATATTAGTAAGATGTGTTAGGGCTATAAATGTAATGTACAAATTTCCAAATTCATGTGCACTTAATACTCTTATATCTTAAAAACACTTCAATAATTTTATCTAATCATAGAATGTCAAACCCAATCCTAACAAATACTGTGGACCATATCATAATCACATGTCTAAAGAAAGAATAAAATATATGGAAGTGGATAGATACAATCATGACACTATTGGCATGGTGGCAATAGATAATAATGGAGATATAGCTGCAGGGACATCAACAAATGGAGCCAAATTTAAAATACCTGGGTAATTAAAAATATTCATCAGTAATCTGTTTCCAGTTTTCTAATAAAAAAATTGAGGTTTACTTTCTTTATAGAAGAGTAGGTGACTCGCCAATACCAGGATCTGGCGCTTATGCTGATAATGAAGTAGGAGCAGCAACTGCTACAGGAGATGGGGATATTATGTTAAGGTTTTTGCCCAGGTACTTATAATATTCAACACAGGTGATGTATTTTCTACTTAGTAAAATGGCATAAACAAGTATGAAACAACTCTCATTATTAGAGGTTAGTTCTAAGTCCATACACTGTCAATGTCAATAATGGTCAATTGAATAATTGTTTTTAATTTTTGCTTGTAGTTTTCTAGCTGTGGAAGAAATGCGTCGTGGATCATCACCAACAGAAGCTGCACAAACTGCAATTAGGAGGATAGAAAAATATTACCCAGAATTTATGGGAGCTGTAGTAGCATTGAATAAGGATGGGGAATATGGGGCAGCATGTCATGGTTTAGAAGGATTGCCATTCCCTTTTGTTGTATATGATAATTCTCATGCCAAGTATAAAGTACATACTGTGAACTGTGTCTAAATAAATATGATGTCAATAAAATGTAGTGTTTCAACATTTTTTCCCTATAAAAATGTTTTTATTCCAGAGATGTGAGAAGAGCACTTTTACCAACCCATTTGCTGACACCTTTTTTAAATCTATTCAAACATGGTGTCAAATAAGTTTTATTGATTCTACAAAGATAGGTACTGATTTCTAATAAAAGAGGAAAATTCATGTGTCAAACTTTTATTTTTGTTATTAGTTTAAACTTTTAATTCCGAATATGGTGACTTGGTCAGTGGGATATCACGCCACAAGTCAGGTGTCAAGTAAGCATAGGTCTTTGCAATAGCCGCATAAGTGGCCTTAGCAAAGTTACCCAGCGTACCAGTGGAACCACGAGCAGATGTGTAGCAGTCTTGTACACCAGCCATCTGAAGCAGCTTCTTAGGAACTGGAGCAGACACAATACCAGTACCACGGGGAGCCGGGATCAGCCTTACAGTGACAGACCCACACTTTCCGGTCACCTGTAATTAATTAATAGCAATTAGAATTGTCCATATACTATAACAATTTTTTGAAGTGAAAGTTTAATTCAGACGCATATAAAGCTTCATTGGAAAAACCTCAAGAGGATACCACGAATGAAATGATTTTGGTTCTCATCATAAAAAATTAAGAAGATTTTCTTTATAAATCTAGAAACAGCACATGATCAGTTCATTCTAATAAATAATAATGATTTACATAAAAAGTAGGTTCATTTACCTTGCAAGGTACAGTGTGTGGTTTTCCAATCTTGTTACCCCAGTAACCTCTGCGGACTGGGAGGACAGACAATTTGGCAAGGATGATCGCTCCACGGATAGCTGTGGCCACTTCCTTGCTGCATTTGACACCGAGACCAATGTGTCCGTTGTTGTCTCCAATGGCAACGAACGCCTTGAAACGGGTGCGCTGACCGGCACGGGTTTGTTTCTGTACCGGCATGATCTTGAGTACCTCATCATTCAACGATGCGCCAAGGAAGAAGTCGATAATCTCGAACTCTTTGATGGGGAGAGAGAAGAGGTAGATGCTCTCAAGCTTGTCGATTTTGCCTTCGCGTACTAGGCGGCCCAGTTTAGTGACGGGCACCCATT